GAGGGGAGGGACAGAGAGGCTTGGTGGCAACTGGCATCCAGCCAAGGTCAAACCACCACAGGTTTCTTCACTGTGAATGAGGCAGCTGCAAGGAAAAAGTGTGGCATGGAACAAATACAATCATTAAGGTTTTGGTGAAAGAAACAGATTTTCATTAGTTCTCCTACAATACGCTGCAATGGATTTTTTGTGGAGGAAAAAAATTATGTCTTCTGAAAAACTGATTTAAAGCTTCTATTCACACAAAGATAAGCAAAATGCACAGCAAGTTAAGGAAGATGATACTTTTACCATACTGGTAGAAAGCAGAAACTTCATTAATTGAGTACAGGACAACCCCTGTTGTAAATCCATATATTTTACCTTTGTTTGCTAGGTTGCTGTGATTGTGTTGTTCCGTATAACAAATCCAAGATAAGAGTTTGTACTCAAACAGTGGTAAAATTAAATACATGGGGATTACAAAAAGGTGAAAAACGACATTCAAGTATTTTATATATTTCCTAACACTTCAAAGTTGCAACACTATGTATTTGTAGTAAAGCTTGTCCACTATAATTTGTAGAGATTTTAACAACACTGTGGTCAAGACAGTAAAATCTGAAGAAATCTCGGGGGCGCAGGGGGAATGCAGTGTTTTTAACCAGTTTAAAAAGAAATTAATAAATCTTCTCCCAAGGCACTCTTAAGGAAATTCAGAAAAGCCTTTTCTTTGGAAATTGCAAACAGTTTGCATTTAAGCCCACTATGGGGAGGCGGGGAATGTTTCTTGGTGAAATAATTCTGGAATTTAAAAATACTACAGGAAAAGGCAGCATACTGTATATTTAGCCAATGAGTGAAGTGTCAGTCAAACAAGGTTCATTTAATTTATTTGAACTTCTGCTAAACAGCACACACATGCTAATCTGTAGAAAGGCACCTGCATCTAGAAAGCAACTTTAAATTCCAGAAACAGAGTGCTACTGATGGGGGGAAAGTGCTATTTCATCGGGAGAGAAAAAAAAAAAAAAACAAAACCAAAAAACAAACCACCACCACCACCACCAAAATGTCAAGTGCTGGTATTAGTCAGTGAATGAGTACGATACAAGAAGTTAAGCACAAGCCCAGTCTTGCCTTTCCACATCTTTGAGATCACATAAATATTGTGAGTGTGGAAGAACTGGCTCATAAAATGTAACTGCTCTAGCATCAAATGGCTGGCATGGTGCCTACACAGCTTTACTTGCTTCTATCCTGAAAATTAAATTTTCTGTACCCACCAGGTTAGTCAACAGTTTTGTGACTCAGCCTAGCTCACTTAAAGTACAGGAGAAGCTGAAAAACATCTGATGCGACACTTCCTATCTTTTGCTCTAAGGAATGAAGAAAAAAAGGAATAAAACGCGAGATGAAATACTGCAAAGTAAAATATAGGTTTGTGCACAGTCTTTGCTAATCAGAAAACTCCTTCCAAAATAATTTAAAGGTCTCCTAATGGGAGTTCACACATACTAAGCAAGCATTCATTAAGCTCACAACATGCCTATGAGATTAGTAAAAAACCATTATCTGTTCTACGCACATTTAAATTAAAAGTTGTCAACTGAAAAGGAAAAGCTTAAGCAACTTAAGGAGGAACAAGTGATAATAGTAGATGTGGCTACATAAAGAAACAATTTGCCTTCCCATCCTTTCGCAGTTAGCTAACAACAGTGTTCAGAAATCCTTAATGCCTGCTAAGTCATGCACATTTGGTTTGGAAAAAACCCAAGGGCAGCAGTGATTCTTGTATACAGAGTGAGTACTCACTTCCTTCATAGCCATCAGCTCTCCAGTGTCAACACTGATACAGGTATAGACCTTCCCATACTGGCCTTCACCTGCAAAATTAAAATAAAATAAGAAAAATTCATTACGCCACATTCAATAAACAACATGTACATCAACTGCAATAAAAAACCGTCACCCAAAACTGAGCTTGCCAAGGTTATTTACCTTTATTTTCATTTAAAATTTCAAGTAGCTTTTATCCTGTAACACCTAATACTACATTCATAGTCTTGCATTCAAGCTGATTAAAAGTAAAAACATTACATTAACAGGCTGACCTGAAAGCAGAATTCTCATGAATATGAGTATTTTCCCCACAAATCCCAAACCTGAGAGGAAACAACGATCACATGTGGGAAACAACAATATTGGCGAATTAAACAAATCCCAAAGTTTGTGCTCATTTCAATTCATGTTTCTGGTTCTTCCAAAAGCAGAACTCAAACATTTTACAGGGTTACACGCATGCAGGAATTGCAGGATCATACCTAAGTATTAGCCCTAACCAAATCCTTCTCCTACATTGTTTCCTGTTGTTTGACCAGGGAAAGCTTCACTGAAGTTCTGTGTACAGGAAATCCTAGCTGCAATAGTATTTTGTATTTTAACATTCTGATTTCAGTAAAGCTGACACTACCTATGTGGAGACCCGAGATTTCAAAAGATAGTCATAGATTTCCTTCAAAAATACTAAGCTTGGTATTTTAGCCTTATAAGCGAAGGTATAATGAACGTACCAATTTTGTTTCCTCTCTGCCACTTGAAAGTCACTTTTCTCAAACCTACATGCATGACATTATCATAAGATTTCGGTGTGTCACAAACTTGGCCAATGATGTTCTTCCTCCTCATCTCTCTGTATCTCCTTTCTTCAAACAACTGAACAGACTTTTGAACAGCTTCAATCGGTGCTTGCTTGGAAGCAGTGTCTAAAAAGAGTGATGAACAGTTTCCTTGATTGAGAAATATTCGCCGTGTTTGTATTTTGTTACCTTTTGATATCACATGAAGTGACCCGAGTTAGAAGACAACTATTTTGTGAGTCTAATTTAAGATGTAGGAAAAGAGTAAAACATTTTAGCAATCACATATGAAACCATTACTTGTGAATCACATATGAAACTGAAGTAAAAAGAGAATACTAGTACTTTTCTAATCATCTCTTACTTGATTCAAGGAAATGAAAGGTATGAAATGCAATGCACTTGTTTGCATTTGGCCTGTAACTAACCACCGATAGTGGAAATATGTTAGGGTCGTTAAGAGCACCAAGGAAAGAAGGACAGGTAAGGTTTTGCTCTACAGAGACATGAGAGGTTTCTTGGAAAACTCATAGCATCTGTTATTTCAAAGATTCAGAGGTATTAGGTAATTCCAGCTTTCAAGTCTTACAATGAAACAGAAACCTAGTGAATGAGGTTGGAAGAAATCTCAGTGCAGCATTAATTTATCCCTTCCTTGTAAAGCGCAAAAATGACACATCTGTGACTGTTGACAGACAGTAGTCTAACCCACTTCTGACAGCCTCCAAAAGATGGAGATACTGATACTCCCAAAAGATTTATTCTACTGCCCATCTATAACTAAGACCACTTCATCTACACTAAATCTGCCTCGATGTCATTTTAAACCAAAATCTTTGTCTTGTTCACAGTGGACAGTAAAACCAGTTCCCATTGCAGCAGTTGTCTAGAAATTTTCAAGTTTTCCCTCATTCTTCTTTTCTAGTTTAAATAAACTCATTTCATTGGTGTTTATGTTCCAAACAAAAAATAAGCCTTCTAGATTTCAGAAAAAAATATTGCTGTTCTTCCTCTGCTCCATCTGAGCCACATAATGAGACACCAGATTTTATGTGACAGAATTTTTTTTCTAATGTTTCATGAGGTTCCACCCTGCCAGAATATATGCAAGCAAGCTACACGTATACATCTGTACAGTACAGGAGTCTCAGAAGTAATCAAGTTCCTTTAGGTTTCATGAAAATAAGCAGCAGGACAGAGAGGAAGGGGCCCCATAATAGCCTTGAATTTGGGAAACAGTGTAGGATCACATGCTATTAGACACCCAAAATAAGAAAATCCCATGCTGGGGAGAGATCTTAAGGAAGCGAGGAAGTGCTTCCTCCCATCATGCGCTTCGTAATTGGGCACCGAATAGGGACAGCAAACTTCTGCAATTCCTATAGTAAGCAATGCACTCATTTTGCAGAACACTGCTAGTACCTTTCAGAAACTGAAAAGGTGTAACTTTTATGAAGTTTAATTACTCCTACCTCAGAGAGTACACCTTGTCATTTTGTTAGCTGTATCTTCTATCTGCAATTAGGATTTTATTCTTTCCCCTTATGTACTAAGCTGTGAAAACCTCTGCACAATCAGCATTAAGGTTCAACCTTTCATTACAGCACTCATTTAACAGACATTCCATTATAGTGACTCCTAAACACCCACCTTTGGTCTGGCTGATTAAAGTTCTGAGCTCCCAACTTCGCCGGGACAAGCCACTTGAATCTCCTTTTGGATACGATGGTTCTAGAGAAACAATACTGTGAGCACAAAAGTGTCTTTATCTCATATTAAGGATTATGCCACTACAGTCAGCAGAAGCTGAGATCTTACATATCAGGACTAATGCACCCTACAAGTATATGAGGCAACCATATAGCAATATATGCTCTTGAATGCAAAAATTACTTCTCTTCAGAAAACAAATTATGGGAGCTATTCTGAAATAGGATTTAATGTATACAGGAACAGAGCAGTCTTTCCACAACTGAGGGAAACGCTTCAAGGCAGGGCACTCAGAATCAAAAAGAAACAAACAAAAAATCCCCCACACCTCTTAGTATAAATTTTTAAGGCATTTCTTTCTTCAAAATCTACTTCATTTTGCAGGATGACCACAATATCAACTCTACTTTGCTTGGGATTTTGGACTTCGTTTTAATTTGCACAGAACACATTATCTTAACAATCAACGTTTCAAGGTACTTGTTGTAATAAATACCACATATACAGTGGCTGGGGAAACCTGAAGGAGGAGCCCTGATCAGGACATCAAGTCACACACCCTGTCCCTTCTTCCAGGATTTAAGTAACAGCAAGTATTTGCAAGATGAGTACTGCAGTGGTAGTTAAAGAACTGGACAGAAAACTCTTCGCTGTCCTGATGGGTCCAGTTTGTACCTCATTAACAGCATTTAGAAATTTACTATCGAATGGGATATAATTCAGCAATCATGTTACACATTTAATTTTGAACACTGTAGTTAGTAAGACACCAGGAAATTCCTTCAAGTACAATTCAGAAACAATAATGAAAGGCAAGAGAATAGTGGTTATGTCTGAAAACAGAAGAACTTACAATATCTAATATACAATACAGAACTTTGACAATATAAGCCTAGAAATGAAAAATCTAAGATTTTTGAATGAGAAAAGGTAAAAAAGTTTTTTTGAAAGGGTAAGAATTAGGAATAGAGAGAAATATGTTGATGACATAAATCATCTGCACATCCAGGTCGCAATCTGTTACTGTGACAATCACCTTCTCGCTCTTCAGTGGGGCTGGAGTGACGACTAAGGGATCTGAACTGCAACTCAGCTGCTATTGAAGCCAGCCGATCATTTTCAGGAACACTGGAACCCCTGTTAAAAAGAGCCATCGTACTAATTAACTTAGCACTGCACTAAATAACTACTAGTGACAATTTAACTGCAGTTTTAAAGAGAAAGACCCTCCGAAGCCTAGGACATGAACCATGAAAGTATCACGAAAGAAAAACTGATGCTGAGAGGTGAACTGAAAACCCTTTCTATGCTATTTTTTTTCCCCAAATGCAGACTTTTTATATCATTTTAGTTATGCCACTCTATGAAAAAACCCTAAGCCTCAAAAGCGTAAACCACTTGAAACTGTTACTTGCCCATAACAAGAGAATCCATTTTAATGACTTGTAACATACTATGAAGACAGCTACTCGGGGTGCAGCTGGTGCCAGGTTTGAATATACGATCAGAAGTGATCCAGCTGGGTGATAATGTGAGCCCCATTATCAGATGAAGGGTGGCAACTGAATTCATATGCTCCTAGTGCACTGCAAATACAGTCACAGTCCATAGTCATTAAGTCAAAACTAGCGGGAAGAACCACAAGCCAGCTGAAAGGAAGGACAGTGCTAAATGACCATCAGCTCGACTGCTTGGAGGCCCTAGCTCCTACAGACAGCACAGAGTAGAATTAGGTACCTCAGAATAAGACCCAGATGAATAAGCACGCTGAACAGAAAGGGCAACAATATTGAGAGAAATGAGTCTTAAACCCTTAAATCTTCGGGCACCTTTCTCCAGCCCAAGACATTGGTCAACCCACCCATGTTTTAGAGCCGTAAATTCCGCACGGAAGTCTTTCTACAGTAACTCCCTTTTGGACAAGGCTCCCTTTCAATTTTTAAAGCATAGTGGGGAAGAGCTGTGATTGATGCCTCCTTTAACATAATGCTTTAGAGGTACGAGCTCATCGTTCCTGGCAAGCAGGGAACATTGTTAAGTCCTTCACTGAAACCTGACAACTACAAAAAGATGAAAGACACCTAGCATCACAAAGCTGCGAGAGGACTTCCCTACAGCCCTAGGGTTGCTTCTGAATTGTATCCAATTACTACCTAATAATAGCAAAAAAAAAAAAAAAAAAAAAAAAAAAAAAAAAAAGAAAGAGAAAAAAAGAAACATAAAAGACACACTCTTAAGAACAGAAGCCAAAAGACACCCTATTCCCATGCGAACGTTCTCAATCTGATGTTTGCTTTGCACTCCCTGCTACTGCCAACCAGATCTCTTAAGTCTGAGGAGGAACTGAAACTGAACTAGTGAAAATCCTCAGTACTTTTCAGGAAGTTGAGGTTTTAATCAGCAAAAAGGCTGAGGTTATTCCCAGCACATACAGAGCAACTATTAGAGATGCACAAAGAGCTTAAAAATGAGCAAAGCTAAACCACCTCTCTAAAATGAGGTAGTAGCTGAACAGAGGGCCTTAAGTATCATAGCTTTGAATGCAGGTGTCTAAAATCCACTCCAGGCCCGTCTTAGCCACCCAGATCTTCTATTGTGTGTGTCCGGAAAGACTGTATGCATGTTAATAGGCAAAGTAATTGAGTAAAAGAAAAGAAGTCCTGCTAAATTTCTGCTCCAGTCCTGGATAAATATAAAATGATGAATAATAACCCCAGCTAGCTCAGAAATTAAACATTTTATAAAGGTCATTAGTATGAACATAGTGTAAATGTATAACCACCAGAAAGCTCAGTGTAAACACCTAGGTATTGCTGCTTTGGATTTTACTTTCTTGTTATATTAAACTTTTTTTTTTTTTTAAAGAAAAACTTCAATAGAACTATGGTGGCATTTGTGCACTACGCACTGCCTAGTACAACTGATTTGTCAAGTTCTTACATCCAACTTTCTACATTCAACTTTTTCTAGGTATTTAATGCCTACAATAATGTCATAAATGTCTAAAGAGTTTCTGGAAAGCATACAAAGTTTCTGTTTCTGTGCTATTCCAGCAGCTGGACACCACATTTCTTGCATACAAAACCACAAAACACTTTCTTGATCCAACAGACTCCATTTCTCTTTTGGAGCACAAATAAATTAAATCCATAATTAAGACTGCAATGTGTTGAAGTTTGCAACTTACTATACTTTAACTATATTAAAACCAGAAATTTGCTAAAAATCTATTACATCGTAGTATTTTGTCTTCCTCAATAAACTAAACCCCTAAAAAACCCCAACAACCTCCAAAACGCTGTCTGCTTCAATAATTTTTTTCTTCAAATTCTTCCTAGGTAATACAGGGGTTTAAACAATCCTACTCAAAAATCCAGGCAGTGCATTAGAAAAAATTATGGGATATTTTATTAACCATTAGAAAAGTAAAAAATGAGAGCTCTAAGAAAAATACAAATCTTTGAGAAACAAGCCTAGGCAATTTGACTACAGTGCCACATTCACATCATCTTTCATGTTACAATACATGAAAGTATTATGCCCATCATTGCAACTAAGAAGTAGAATTCTCATTTCTTTTCTTCCTAATGACCATCTCCTTGAACTAGAAGAAACTGTCACAATGCCAACCGTAACACTTTGATCAATATTTGTGTAGGACACACATGCAGAAAACGCTTAAAGAATATACCACTGTATTCAAGTGTGTCAAATTATAAACCTGACAGTTGCACTGAGTGGTATAAAATCACAACAAAGCCTACAAGTATTAAAAAATAGCCGCCTATCTCCCTCCTGAAAAATTAACTAACTTCAAAGACATGCCTTGGCTCCAGTGCTGTAGAAAAAAATCCCTTTCATATGTTGTTTATTTGATAACTGGTCTTTATGCAAGTTCCGCATTTTCAAAATCACAAATACTAATTAACCATCACCCTGTCAGCTTACAAAGTTGCCAGAACCGCTCAGTGAAAATTCTCTAGAATGTTACTTACTTGAAAAGGGCTTTTCAAGTGCACAGTGCTGCAGACTACTGCCTACTCTGTCAACAGGGGGCTTAAAACAGAAGCATGAAGGATGTGTAATAAATGCATGTAGTTTGAATAACAAAAATTCAGGATGTATTTTCAACAACAACAACAACAAAGGGCCCAGACTCACAAGGTGTACACGTAGAGGTTACTGTAGGGTGCAACTCACATCTTACCATAAAAATAAACTGAAAAGACTTGCAGGAAAGATTTTATATAAAAAGCGACAACTTACTTCCCTCTTAACACCTTAAGGCATGCTTGTGCTGTGCATCTAGTAACAAATCGACAAACCATTATGGATTTCTGGCTAACAAATAAAAATTATTTATTAAAAAATAAATAATTCATAATCAACTCATATCTAAATTCACTTTGGTCACCATCAATCTGTTGTTCCTTTACTATCTGTTCTTTCTTTTCTCTACAGCTGTGTGTCAGATCACGTGCCTCCATTCACACGCATCTCTTGTACAAGAGAGCTTTTGGTACTCTGCAGTGGAAATAAGAATCCAAAAAGCTATTTATAAAACCTAAGATAATACCATTGTACAAACAGCAGGATTTTCACAGTCAGGGGTGCAGTGAAAAAAAAATAAAAATTAAACAGAGTAAATTTAGAGAACTTGGGAGACATGTCAGTGGTCTGACTGCGGTATGGGAAGAAGGAACGCCAGTAGTCTGAAATGTAACAGCCAAATCACAGGCCAAAAAGCAGGAAT